ACAGGTTCCAGAAATTAGGACGTGGACATCTTTGGGGCACCGTTTTTCTGCCTACCACAGTAACATATGCCTCCTTTAAAAAATCAGAAAAAGGTGATCAGCCAAAAAACAACATGTAAGCACCATAATACCACTCATCTGTAGACAAAGTTAACACTTTGACATATGTGTTCCTTCTGTGTGTGTGGATAAATTTTATGAAATGTGGTGTCACACCTCCTCTTTATCTCCAGTCACTCTTTTGGTAATCCTTTTAGTCTCATGGATTTAAATGACACCTAAACACTGATGATTCTCAAATTTACATCTCAGCTCTGACCTCTTCCTGAGACTGGTAAATGCAACTGCCTACTCAGGATCCCACCTGGATATTTAGTAGGCATTTTAAATGTAATGTATCTGAAGCTGAATACCTGATCTTACATCAAACTTGCCTCCCACAGTCTTCCCCAGCTCATTAAAGGGCAATTCCGTCTTTGCTGTTGACAAATAAAAATGGCAAGCAATAGGATATATTGGAGAATATGAGGAAGCCATTTGGTGTAAACCTAATTTGGCCTGACCTTGTCTTTCCAATAGGGCCTGACCGCGGCCATTGAGCATGCATTGTATATCTGCTTTAGAGATTCCCTATGGCAAGAACAAAGGCCCTTAAGATAAAGGTGCCACTTCCCTCCCCCTCCCAACGTTGGCATTCCTTAAGGATTAAGCATCTTTCCTTAGGCTAGGAACTGATTGCTGCGCTCACCTGTGACCACCCAGCTCGAGACAATATGCTTGCCTCCTGCTACACCCTCCGAGATAGCAGACCCACTACCTGCTATGTCCATCAAGTGCTGTGCTGACAGGGCAATCTTGTGACTATTGTGGGAGCGACATTTCAATCATATGTGAAACGTCCTGTTTGGGGGTATATAACCATTCTGTATACCTCACTCCCTTGGTGCCCTTTCTTCCTTCGGGAGGAAAGGCCCCGGGCCATGGTCCTCAGATTTCAGCTCAGAATAAACTCACCCAAATTTTCGTTTATAGATTGGTTATGGATTATTTTCGTCAACACTGTGAATCAGGATAAAACCTGTGCCTTATCCTTGATTGCTCTCTTTCTCTCCCGTCCCACATCTCATTTAATATCAGGTCCTTTGGAATTCATCCAGAATCTGATTTAACACTTCCCCCACCTGGTCCGAGTCATCCTCATCTCTCATCTGCATTATTGCAGTAATCTCTTAGCTGGTCTTCCCGTTTCTGTTCTTGCTTCCCCATCAGATCCCTTTAAAACAGAAGTCAAACCAGGTTCCTCTCTGTCCCATGGCTTCCCATCTCACTCAAAATTAAAGTCCTTCCGGTCATCTATAAGGAAAGCCCTATATCTGACCCCCTCTTCGACCGTCTCTCTTACACTTTCCCTCTTGCTTACTCAGGTCCAGCCACATTGGCTTCGTTATTTATATGTCTGTTGTCTGTCTTCCCTTACTGTGATGTTAGCCTCATGAGGGCAAGAACTTTTGTTCTATTTTGTTTTGGTATCCCAAGTTCTAGACTATTGCAAGACACATAGTAAATGCTCAAATATTGAATGAATGCTTTATAGTCTTGTTTCTCTCTCTCTTTCTCAGTATATTAATTTGCTCTTTTTTGAACATGGCTTTGTTGGGTAACAAGAGGTAGTCATGGTAAGACTTATTAATTAAAGGGCACCCTTTAAATAGTTGTAATTTTTTTGTAGACTGCATATGACGACATCTCCCCTACGGGAGAACAGGACTGGGTTTCGTAATAAAAATGTTCTGTATCCTAGTTAACATTTCCTCTTTCTCTGTTCTTTGGCTCCTCCTGCTGCCACCACCCTCACTGCACACTGAAATGCTTCTTTCTTACTTTGGGAGGGGCAGAGTTACTAATACCTATTTCCCTTTTAGCCAAAGGACTTCTCTTTTATTCTAAAATAATTTATTAAGAAAAAAATGCCACAAAGAGTCAAGAGACCTGGGTTTGAGTCCTGGCCCTGCCACTATCTGTGACCATAGTCACCTAACTCGCTCTTGGTTTCCCCTTCTTAAATGAGAATAATAGTAACTAACTGTCCTCATAGAATTGTCCGAGAAAATAAAGTGAAATAAAGTATTTTAAATTGGTTTATAAACTCTTGAGTGACAGGCAAGTGGGAAATGAAACAAGTTAAGATCAGCAGCATTTTTTTTTTTGGAACAATTACAGTGTGCCAGCCTCCATGGCAAGCTTTAAGGATTCTAATGTGGACAAGAAAATCTTGAATCTGGCTTCTCTTTTCTGTTCCTTGATGTCTTGCCTAAGTCCAGGTCCTCATCATCTCCTTTGAGTCTTTGCTGGGGTTTCCTAAACTTGGCTCTGTGTTTTCAGAGTTTAATCAATCTTGACTTCTCGCCACTGCTCCTGGTGTTATCTCCTACAAACCAAAGTTGATTATGTCACTCACCTCCATAATTCCTGTGGTTTCTTCACTGCCAACAAGACACAATCTAGTTCCTTGGCCTCAATTCACATTCTGGTCCAGTCTCACATCCTATCACTGGTTCCATGTATGCACCAGGTGTCTGCCTCACTGAATTTCTCCGTCTTCTCTGGTATGGTAGGGAAGAGACCAGCTTCCATCTCTGACTCCACATTTAGGTCCTCAGCCTGGAAAGCCCGCCTCATCCTTCTGCTGTTTTTTTATCCTTTTGGACCCATCCCTGACACTGACTCCTGCATGACTTGAACCTTCCGCTCCCCAAGCAGAGTTAGTTTCTGTAATTTTGTTCATTCCCACTGCATTTTGTTCTTTCTTTGGATGTGGTGTTTATTATTCTGTGAGCCCTTGAAGTGCTGCAATTATGTCACTTAGGATAAGAAAATGAGGCAGTCCACCTAAGAAGGTGTAGTGGGTTGAATGGTGGCCCCCAAAAAGGTATGTCTGTGTCCTAATCCTTGGAATTGTTGAATGTGACTTTATTTGGAAAAAAGGTCTTTGCAGATGTAATTAAGGGTCTTTTTTTAAAAAATATTTTTATTTTGAGGAAGACTAGCCCTGAGCTAACATCTGCTGCCAATCCTCCTCTTTTTGCTGAGGAAGACTGGCCCTGAGTTAATATCCGTGCCCATCTTCCTCTACTTTATATGTGGGATGCCTGCCACAGCATGGCTTGCCAAGCAGTGCCATGTCTGTACCTAGGATCCGAACCGGCAAACCCTGGGCCGCCAAAGCAGAATGTGCGCACTTAACCACTGCACCACCCTGCTGGCCCTTAAGTTAAAGATCTTGAGATAAGATCATCTTGGATTATCTGAGTGGGCCCAGTTCAATGAGAAATGTCCACACATAGGAGAGACACACAGAGAAGAGAGGGCCCTGTGAAGAGGGAGGCAGAGATTGGAGTTATGTAACTGAGCCAAGGCACACCTGGAGCTTCGAGAAGCTGGGAGGGGCAGGGAAGGCTCCCCTAGAACCTTCAGAGGGAGCGCAGCCCTGCTGACACTTGGATTTCTGACTTCCAGCCTCCAGAACTGTGGGAGAACAAATTCTTGTTCTTTTAACTACGAAGTGTGGTAATTTGTTAAGCAGCCCTAGGAAACTAATACAGAAGGTTATAGTGTAATTACTAGAACATAATAAAATATCATTGTCATTACCATCAGTAACATTATCATCACTGTTATTCTTACTCTTATAACCTAGCATGGGACTGGAAAGTGGTACATGCTCAGAAAATGGTATTTGAGTGAAAATACAGTTCTTGCCTCTGAGCTTCCAGTCTGCTGGTAGTGGTGGTGGTATTGAGTGTTGAAAGGTAGTATTGAAAGAGAGCTTCCAAAATAGATCCCCTCTTAATTTTTTTCTTTAAACATCTTTTTGTGTGTTTGTGTGAAGGGTGGTAGTGGATGTTTTTAAATTGTTTTTTAGAAACTTTTTTATACGTTTTTTATTAGTTGTCCTTTTAGAATAAGATTAATTTTGTACAAATAGAAATCATAATGTTCCCCTCCCCTCAAAATAGAAAAATGGTGAGAAGTTATAGTTCTAACAGTAAAAAAATCTTAAAAGTATTTCTTTTTCTAATAGAACGTTATTTAGCTAAAATTAATTTCATGCTGGTTGGCCTTGAAGTACAATTTAAAGTGGTACTTTGGAGCAATAAAGTAATTTATTTCGTTGTGCTATGAGGTACTTGAAAACCAAAGTTTTCCAATAATCATAATCCCAAACTTGGTTTTCTGTCAAGGCTGTGTGTATCATTTGTCTGTAAATTTTAGTTTGCCTCTGAAATTTAGTGTGCTCACCTACCGAGACTCCGATTTGTGGGGCTAGGAATACACATTTTTAATAAGCACCCAGATGGTTCTGACCATACTTTGAGATATACTAATCTAGTTACCACACAATCCTCGTAGTTCATTTCATACAAAGGCTTCTTCTTGTTGTTGTTGTTTGTGTGCTTATGTTAGGGCCATTCTTTGCATGTATCTCTGTTCCGGTGAGTCTGGTGAATACATACATGTACCTAACTTATGCCTCGGGCCCACACTACTGGTCATATTTCTTTTGTAGAGAATGAATAAAACTCCAGCATCAAGGGATATTTTTTTTAACCTTTTGAATGAACTTTAGAACAGGGCATATTTGACCCAAGGAAATTGTTGAGATGAATGTAAGGTCTATAGACAGAAGGAAAGAAGCATGACATAAAATTTCTACCCTAATTGGGCTTTTTGTGTATTTGTGTTTTGTTCAGAAGAAAATTGTAATGTACATTGCATTTCACAGTAGAGTAATGGTTCCATGATTTGGGTTACTCTGAATAGTAGCTGTAGGCAAGGAGAGAGTCTTCTAAGTGTGGTAAGAAACTTTCACCCATTTGTACTACGAAGCATTCTGATTGTGTGTATTTAGGACATAGGGAAAACACTACACTTGCAGTTTTACTACTTCAGTATCTTAGTTGTGTATTGAACTGGAAAAAATATGTTTTTGTTTCTTTTAGGGAGTCACAAATCACATTGAGCCACAACCGTCCAGTGTTTTCTTCAGTTCCAAACGAAATGAATATTCCCAAGCTGCTACAACATCCTCACCAGCATTTCCTAAAAGGCCTTTTAAGATCACCTTTCCGACCTTACCACTTCATCTTTCACTCGAGTGCTCATCTCGGATCAGGAATGCCACCTGCTCAGCCATTTAATTCTCTTGGACTCCATTGTACAAAGTGGATGCTGCTGTCAAATGGTTTAAAGAGAAAATTGTGTGTACAAACAACCTTAAAGGAGCACACGGAAGGATTTTCTGATAAGGAACAAAGATTTGTGGATAAACTTTATACTGGTTTAATCCAAGGGCAAAGGGCCTGCTTAGCAGAAGCCATAACTCTCATAGAATCAACTCACAGCAGGAAAAAAGAGTTAGCCCAGGTGCTCCTCCAGAAAGTGTTAGTCTACCACAGAGAACGGGAACAATTAAACAAGGGAAAACCACTAGCGTTTCGAGTAGGTCAGTCTTTTTTGATTTGCTTTGGTCTGTCCAGTACACATTTTTCTAAATTCTCTCTCTTCTTTTAAAATAAGTCTAAATAATTTGAGATCTAATAGGGATTCTTTTTTTCTTTTGGGGATGAATTTTTAATGCCTTTTCTTTGCAAATATTAGTCTTGTTATGTTGAAAAAATATGCCATGACCATTTGAACCAATGTTCTATGTTTTAAGAAAACTTAAGATTTCTGTTTTGGTAAGAATCTTGCTATGGCTCCCCGAATAGAAGTAAGCATAGGAAGAACTATTAACTAGTTTACTCCTTTCTCTCCGAAGTCCTTCTGCTTAACAGTCTAAAGTGAATTCCCTGTTTTTGTGGTTATATCAACTATAATCATCCTTATGACATTTCAAAGTTCTACTTGTTCGGTGTTTCATTAGTCTTTCTATAGGCAAGTCTCCTTTCAGATACTTTTTGTTAGAGTTTCTGGGAGTGGCTTGGCTCTAAGCCCAGCCATCTCAATACCAAAATGTATTTTAAAGGAGAGACCATGTTCATTTGCTGTCTAGAAATACTAGACATTCATTTGATTTCTTGAACAATTGACTTGTTTCTGTAATTGCATATAAGCTTGTTATATTTTTGAAATTGTGCATTTAAAAAACAATTTAGATACGTTTGACCAGCAGGAATTAAGCAAGTCAGTTTTGGGTGGCATGAGAGCTTTTGATGATGACAAACTTGGTGATTCCAACCAACCCTCTTACTACAAACAACTTGAAATGGTCGACCAAGTGCAGAAATTTTGAGGAATGAGTAAATACACTTACAAATTGACTGGCATTACATTAGACTTTTATATATCAGTTTATTGGTAATATGGGGACTAAAACCTCCTGGTTTTTAGGGTAACGGGAATAAATGCTTTAAAGATAATTTCAGAAATAGCTCACCAACCGAAGTTTGTACTAGTCCACATTTTTCACACACCTTATTCGTCTGCCCTCAGTGAGGGAACTCTCATTTTGAGAGTATGCTTTGGGTGTTAATAATCTTTATGTTTTGTAGACAGACAAGATAGCAAACATTCAAAGAGAAATTCCAGTTATGACAAAGTGTTTACTCTTTAGGCTTTAGAGACTCTTTGAAGAGAAAATGTCCCAGAAATATCTGGAGTTAACCAGCAACTCACACGTAACTAGCAACTCACAAATTTGCAGTGCTCTTCTGGTTTTTCCCTCTTGATCTTATGAGGCCAGATAAACCCGTGTCTTTATTGCACTTATTTTATCACCATCATAAATAAAAGCAACAAATGTTTATTCAGCACCTATAAAGATGTTTAGGACAGAGACCTGCCCTGAAAATTGTGTGAGGAGCCAAGCATACCATATACCATATATACTTTGAATATAGTTACAATTAAATGCTTATGTGTTATATACTTTATTGAACATAAGCTTTTATATCTCTTACTTTATGCCATGCGCTGCTCTAAACATATTGCAAATATTAACTCTTCTAATCCCTACAACAACCTGAAGAGACAGGTGCTACTATTCTACCCATTTTATTGCAGAGTATACTCAGGCACAGAATGGTTAAGTAACTTGCCCAAGATGACACAGCTCATAAGAGTCAGGGCCAGAAATAGAACTGGCTGACTGGCTCCAGAGTTGTGCCGAGACTAATTATTTTTTTCAGGATTCAGTTTATATTATATTCTTTGAGTTCTGGATGAGATGAAAAAAAATTATCTGTTATAAATAGAAGAGTATTTTCTCAGTCACTAGAAATTTCTAGAGAAATGACTTGTTTTTCCAACCGGAAGATAAAGCATACAGAATTGGGGGAGGTGGAATAATTACTGATCATGATGAGAAGTGGGCAGATATAGAAATTCAGCACATTAACAACATAGGCAATGAAGTCTATCCAAAGACATCTACGTTATAGTAAAAGGCAAATCACATTTTGTACCTTTTTTTTTTGAGGAAGATTAGCCCTGAGCTAACTGCTGCCAATCCCCCTCGTTTTTGCTGAGGAAGACGGCCCTGGGCTAACATCCATGCCCATCTTCCTCTACTTTATATGTGGTACACCTACCACAGCATGGCTTTTGCCACACGGTGCCATGTCCGCACCCAGGGTCCGAACTGGCAAACCCCGGGCCACTGAGAAGTGGAACATGTGCATTTAACCGCTGCACCACCCGGCCAGCCTCTCATTTTGTAATTTTTAAAAGTGACTTTGGTGAACTTACAGAGCTCAGAATTGTTTCCTTCCTATATCCCTATTACTCAGGAACTAGATAAATGGATTTTCACTTACTGCTTTAGGAAATGTTAAAATACATTAATGATGGTTTTAATAAATTAGGAGAAATAGAAGGTAGCCTAATATTTTGTTTAATAGAACTCATCCTACTGCTGATTTCATTTATTACCTTAAATTAGATGATCTCTTTCCATCGTAGGATTGTCTGGGCCCCCTGGTGCTGGAAAATCAACCTTTATAGAATATTTTGGAAAAATGCTTACTGAGAGAGGGCACAAATTATCTGTGCTGGCTGTGGACCCTTCTTCTTGTACTAGTGGAGGTGAGTATTGCTGATGCTTTTTAAATTGCAGAGCCGGGGCTCGTGAGGCTGTCTGCGACAATTTAGTGGGAATTTGCAGTCAAGTGACTTCTGACCTTGGCTGAGTTTGGTCTCCCTGAAGGAAGGGAGTTCTGCGGGGCGAGCTGGAGGCTGGCGGAGGTACTTTGGGGCAATGGGCTCTTCAGAGGAGGCCGGCTTGCGGGTAGCCCAGAAGGCTGGGTACTCAGAGAACTAGAACAGGTGCCAGAGGTTGAAGGTAATCAAGAGCAAATTTTAGCCCTTTGGCTATCACCCCAAAGGCCAGGCCCCTCTTCCCGTTGTTTTTCCTGGCTGCATCAGCCCCTGTGCAATTCAGAAAATGGGTCCTTACTCATTTGTTACTTTCCTCATATTATTGTAACATCTCTTAAGCTTTAAAAAAAATTGTCCTGCACTTTATAGCTTGTTACCTGTTTGTATTACATGTTCAGTTAAACAGAAAGCTCTTAGGGGGTCCACGTATTTGCTGCCGCTTCCACTACAGCACTTAGCATAGTACATTGCACATGGTGCCCAGCAATTACTTAGTGATTTGAGGTCATGCAGTCACTCAAAGTTTAATTTGCAGCTCATCAGAGATAAAATAAATAAATTTAGCTCCCCAAAGTATCATTTAAATAAAACATAAAGCATACCATATAGATACTCAGGAAAGGTTTTTCTTTTCTTACCCCTCTTTATGATTTAAGCTTCTCACATTACAGTTATTCATTCAACAAGTATCTGAATGCCTACTATAGGTGAGGCATTGTGCACGGAAGGCACTGTGTTGCATAATAGTGAGTAAGACACAGTCCTCTTGGCCTTGGCCGCTTCATAGGTTATGAGGGAAACATATAAGTAAACACAGGCCGCTACACTATGATGTGTATTGTAAAGGGGAATATACAGGGAGCTTTGTGAAAGTGTTTGGTTCGTATGCTGTGAGTCTAATGCTAAAAAATAAAGATGATATAATCATATTTCAGGGGCTTTAGGTTAATAGAGAGGTGGACAACAATTCCTATTACCACCCATTGATAAATTTAGCTGAGAACATTCAGTTTTTGATTCACTGTAATAAAAGGTTAACCATAAAATAAAATTTATACTCACAAGGTTCAAGATTAAATCCATGTCAATGTATTGTCTTATTTACAGTCTAAGAACTTTGTTAAAGGTAAGTACTTGAACAAAGAATTATTTATAGTGGCCCTCATCTTTATCTAGGTAAGAAGGCTTTTTTCCCCCCATCTTCATAATATTCTAAAAATACTTGTAATAGCAAAAGAAAATAACTTGAGATAATAATAGGAGAAATGGTGACATAAGATAGCCTGATTAAAGTTGCATAGCTATGTGTTTCCTAACCTTTCTCAAACCAGAAATGAGGGTCCCTTTCTCAGGTAAAAAAAAAAAATATATATATAGACTTTGAAAAAAAATACACAAGGATAAACAGGACACCGTCACTATACATTTCTACCTTATTAGTGTAACAGTATACACACTGGAAAAACAGTGTTACGTTAAGGTTTGAGAAGCATTTGCTTTTTAGCCTACAGTCACTCCTGTGCTTTGGATTCAGGGACCCCCTGCAACAGCTTTGAGACCTCCCTGAGGGTCTGCAACCAACAGTTTTGGATTCACTGGCAAAGACAATCATATGAGAGAGTAATTTCATAATGTTTAGTTCAGTGTGTGAGGATCTATAGGATAATAATTTAAAGTATAACTTTGGCAGATTGTTGACTTCATGCAGAAAATTACTTTAGAAAGAAGTTTTATGTGCAGTAAATAAGGTAGTTAAGGAATATGAATTTTTTCTGTTCTGTAGGTATTAAATTGTCTCCTGTGAACAAGCATTCAGCGTGCAAAATATGTAAGACGTGGTCCTAGAGGCAAGGAACTTATGTTAGAGCAGGGCTTCCCAACCTTGGCACTAATGCCATTCTTTCTTGAGGGCAGCTTTCCTGCGCATTGAAGGATGCTTAGCAGTACCCTTGGCCTCTACCTGCCAGATGCCAGTAGCACCCTACCCCCCAGTTGTGACAAGTAAAAATGTCTCTAGACATTGTCAGATTTCCCCTGGGGGCAAAATCACCCCCAGGTGAGAACCATAAGCACAACATTAAGATGACAGTAAAGAAACCATCCTGGCTGGAATGGAAGATTGGTTTGGGGACTGTGGAAGTTGAAATTAGGTAAGGTAGGGCTGCATTCTGAGGGCCTTTAATGCTAGGCTGAAGAATATATGTTTGAACCTCTAGTCAGTGGAAAGCCATTATAGGTTTTGAGGGGCTTGAAAGGTTAAAAAGATTAATTTGGCATGATTATATACACTGTTGGAGGAAAGCGCAATAATAGGAAATACAATTTGAGATTTTGGGAGAAATGTCATTAAACACTTCCTTTAGGAGTTGGCTGATTGATAATTGGCGTTTACAAGTGTTCTATGATTATGAGGTGTAACTGTGTGTTTTAGGATCACTCTTAGGTGATAAAACCCGAATGACTGAGTTATCAAGAGATATGAATGCATACATCAGGCCGTCTCCTACTAGAGGTACTTTAGGAGGTGTGACAAGGACCACAAATGAAGCTATTCTGTTGTGTGAAGGGGGAGGATATGACATCATTCTTATTGAAACCGTAGGTGAGTGTGATTTGCCATTTCATGACAATAAAATGCTATGATGATGAATGCTGTATAAAGATGAGTGACAACTAATTTCATTTTGTTCATTCAGCAGATATTTACTTAAGGTATAATTAAATACATGATATTATCTCAGACTCTCTAGGAGATAGGAGTATTTAGGCTATAATCCTTACCTTCGAAAGAAAAGAAAAACAAGCCCTGTTTCTGATAACTGTTATACAAGGTTGTATGTTATAAGTGCCGGAGAATAGCATAAGGATGACCTACAGAAACAATGCTTTAATGCAATGTCTGTTTTGTTTAAGCACATTTCATTCGTCTATAATATTCACTGAGAAAATTAATATAGTTGGGTAGCTCTTGAATATAGGACCATGTTTTATTTCATGTTTATATCCCTAGTACATCATTATCTGTAATGAAAATACTGAGATGGAAATCTCAAGAAATTCACCTTCTTGTGGAGAGACAGACTGTTATATTACTGTGTGATAAATGTTTGTGACACAACCTGACTTAGATTTGGGGGATCAGAGAAGACAGTTGAACTCAGTTTTGGAAGAAGAAGTGGAATCAAACAAAGTAGGGGCTAAGGGCATTTGTAAAATCAGAGGAGTGAGAGAACTGGCCCATTGAGAGAACTCTTGTTTGCCAGGAAACTTAGAGAGTGAAGGCAGAGAGTAAGAGGGATGGGGCTGGAGACTAGAAACTCCACGATTTCAGGGTGGATGGAGGAAAAGTTGTCTGAGTGGTAGTAGGAGAATCAAGGGAGAAAAGGTCCATAAAGACCAAGCGTCTTACCTGGAAGTTGCATGTGGCTGCTTGTCCCAGAGACTCGAAATAACTGTGACTCAAACAAGAAAGTGGTTTGTTTTCTTGTAAATAAAAGAGGCCTGGAGGCAGGCAGTCCCGAGCAGGCTGGTGGTTCTATGATGCGCTCCAAGTTCCAGGCTTCTGCTGTCTCTGCTGTCCATTCTTAGCACTTAGTTTCCATCCTCAAGGTTGCCCATGGTTAAAAGATGGCTGATGAAGCTCTGTCACATCCATGGAAGGAAGGAAAAAGGGGGAGTAAGGAAGGGGTAGGGAGAAGAGGTATGCCTCCTGGCTTGGTTAGCCATCTTTAAAGAACTTTCCTGGAAACCCCATCTAGTGAGTTTTGCTTTCACTCATGAATCATCTCCAGCTGAAAGGGGGTCTGGTGAATGTGGTCTTTCACCTGGTTCATTGATGATCCTGATAACATCAGGGTAAGGAAATAGGGAAGAAAGGATATTGAATGGGTAACTAGAAGTCTCTGCCACACCAAGGAAGGAGAGAGTTTTGAGCGGCGTTTTGGTGGAGTAGGGCATGTGGAAGCCAGATTTAAGTGTGTTGAGATGGATGTCAAGTAGTGAAGTGGAGACAGTGAGCATATATTGCTTTTTTCCAGAAACTTGGCTATAAAGAGAAAATGAGAAATATGGTGATAGTCGGAGGAGATTGTGAGTTTTTTTCTTGTTTTGTTTGGTTTTAAGATGAGAAAGACTTGAGCACAATTCATGTGATGTAGTCTGTAGACAAAGGAAAGGTTAAAGATAAAGCAGAGCGAGGGGCCTAGAGGAAGTGAAAAGGAAGGAGAGCTTAACCTTCAGCCAGTACTTCTCACACCGAGACTGGAGAGGAGGCAGTAGGTGGAGTTTGATTGGCATCTGCTCATCTGTGGAGGGGGAGAGGGAGAAGCTGAGGAGGTTCTTGCCTTTATTTTCCCTGTGAAGTAGGTGCCATGCTCATCAGCAAGTGGGGAGATTATGGGAGAGTGAATGTTTGTAGTAATCACTGTGAGGAACGAGGAGGAAGCTGCTTGAGGACGTTTCGGGACATTGCTTTTACCAGGCCATGAGGAAGATAGAGCAGACATTGGAGACCATGACCCTACAGTGGCACCTGTCTACACAGTTGAGCAGTTCTCCAGAATGCTTATAGTTGGGTTGATCCATGGGTGAGGTTTGCAGGGCTGATGTGAGGATGAAGGCAAGAAAGCCAAAAGTATCAACAGGCATGGTCTAAGATTAGAATCGCTCTATCTGCACACCAGTGAAAGGGAAGCCAAGAAAGAGCTGGGAGAGTGAGGAGAGAATGGAGGTCTCGAGGTTCTCCAGTCCCTCAAGGACTAAGTCTAATGCAAATAAGGGAGGGAGAGAGCTGGGGAGGATGACAGGTTTGCTCAGAGGGTGAGACAATGGCATTTAATAAATTCTTCAGAGGTGGGGTGTTTAAAGTGGGATCAGGTTGAGTGTGTGACTGTAAGTGTGAGTGAATGAAGTGTAATGGAAACGATGGTCAATGTAGTTGAGAAAGTCAAATTACCATGAATATTTTAATATATAGTTGTGATTTAAAAAATTTCAGGTGTGGGTCAGTCAGAGTTTGCTGTTGCTGATATGGTTGACATGTTTATTTTGCTACTGCCACCAGCAGGAGGAGATGAATTACAGGTAATTATTTTTATTTTTTCCCCCAAAAAACACAAAGTATACGTCTCTGAAAGTACACATTTCCAATGTTGTGTTTTGTAAATTAAGTCGATATTAGCATAGGGAAAGAAACATCATTCACTTTGGCTAAAATACCTGAGTTAAAGGCAGGTGCTGTCTATTTTTCCCAACTTATGGTAATAGAATGTGTGACCTTGCAGTAATCATACAACTTAGATTTTTCCCCTGTAACATGAGAGTGAATGGAATACATGGATGCTCCAGCCAAAAGACACCACTGTTGCATGGGTGTTTGTAGTACAGTTGGTTCAAAAGTGCCTCATAATTGTTTGTAACTGGGATCCCACTATCATAGTTTACATATTGTGAAATAGGATTCTTACTTTCTTCCTGCAGTGCAGTTCTGGCATTAACTACCTAGAGTTAGCACAGACTTCACAGGTTGAGGGCACAGTCCTTCACAAGACTGCCCTCGCTCCAGGCGCCAGTGCAAGCTTGGGGCTTCCCAGGCCACTCATGCCTCTGACCAACTTGCTACAAATGGAGTGGTTTCCCTCCACTACCCCTCAGGTTTGATGATTCACTGGAATGACTCACAGAACTCAGGAAAGTACTATATTACACTTAAAGTTTTATTATAAAGGATACAAATCCGGACCAGCCAAATGAAGAGACACATAGGGAGAGGTCTGGGAGGGTCCCAAATTTTTAAGCTTCCACGTCCTCAGGACGCATTTCCCTCCTAGCTCGTTGTATGTATCACCAATTCAGGGAGTTCACCTGAGCTTCACTTCTGCAGTTTGTAGGTGTAATTGACTGAATCATTGTCCACGCAATTAAACTCAATCTTCAGCCCCCCTCCCCTCCCCAGAGGTCATGCTGATGTCACATGGCTCAAAGGCCCTGCCCTCTAATCACATGGTTGGTCTTTCTGGTGTGGTCAGTCACAACCCTCCCCCCGCCCCGAGTGATCTCACTGCATAAACTCAGGTATGGTCCCAGGCACCCACAGTGAATGACAGACACTCCTATCCCTCGGGAAATGCCAAGGATTTAGAGGTCACTTTCCAGGAACCTTGCCGAAGACCAAACAAATTCTTTGTTACACAATACCTCGCTTTCAATGGTATAATTCTTAAAAATGGTGATAGCAGACTATGGATGTGACAATTTAGAAACATTAACTATTAGAATTTAATCATTGAAAGTTATGTCTAAAAATATTTGAAAAGAAATTTTAATCTTAGATGGAAAAATCTACGTTTTCCAAATAAAGTTTGGCCTGAGGATTTCTAGTGTTTTTATGCAACATAATTTAAATCAAGAAATTGAGGCATTTTTAGCCATCAGGTTATTTTTCCTCAAATGTAAATTGAAAAAAAAATGCTATATACATTTAAGGAAAACTTCAAAGACTTTGTTTCTGGAAATGCAGACATTAGTGATATGTGTGTTTTCTCTTTAAGCACCTCAATGATGGATAGGTTGCATCCTGCAGTCTAGCTCATGAGGAGCGGAATCCATCATGAGAGTGTGAACTGTCTCCTGCCACTCAATCATGTTGTGTCTTGATGATGTATTTATTCTAACTCTAAATGTATTTCAGCATGTTAGTCTCTAAATTTGGCAGAGATATCACAGATGACTTCTGCAATCCCAAGAGCCAGTGCTTTTGAGTAATTTCTATTGAGTAGTTGTGATTCCTGGCACCCAAGCCTTGGGAAGATGCTGAGAAAAAGTTAATGAAGTGCATGACTTTCAAAATCTTTGCATTGACTGGTGTCCCATTTTTTGCTGGTTGTAATTAAATGTTTCTGATAAATCACTTTCTTCTCATTTTTTCTTTAGGGCATCAAAAGAGGTATAATTGAGATGGCAGATCTGGTAGCTATAACTAAATCCGACGGAGACTTGATTGTGCCAGCTCGAAGGATACAAGCAGAGTACGTGAGCGCACTGAAATTACTCCGCAGGCGTTCGAAAGTCTGGAGACCAAAGGTTAGCTCGCATTCCATTCTGCATTTTTCACCCCGAGTGGACTGTGCACATTAGAAGAGAGGATGTAAGTCCCAAGCGAGACATATAATCAATCTTTGCTTGTATGTGAGATTACAGTTTAAAAAATCATGACAAAGCCAGAGTGTGTAGTCATGATTTTAAATATAATCATTCAACCACTAAATGTCAAAGACTACATGTGGGGTGATAGATTAGATTGCTTAATGCTTGACTTGAGCCATTTGGAAGTGATAGCAAATCCATTCTGAAAGGACCATCCTTAAGATTATGGAGCAATTAATGATTTGATTATCTATATTAGAGTTTGAGTAAGAGAGAAAAGGCTTTTGATGTGATAACTTCCCTTCCCATTATGCTTGTTAGGTGCTGTTTTCAATAAGGAAAAGAAAAATCCTGTATTAAGTGATGCAATAATATTGATGTGGGCAGCTATATCTGCAGGAGGACACTGTTATTAAAGAATAAGCTGTAATCACTATGATGAGAACGATGATGACATATCTCACTGTCAGCTCCCAGTCTCCCCCACACGTTGTCTGTGTTAGTCTGAAGCCGTCTTGTAGATGCGGGTGCCGGATGCTCAGCTCTTAGCACCTGCTGAATCAGGCAACTTTGACAGAGGGAATGGGGCTGTTTCTCAGGCCTCAGGGAAGCCCATGTAGCTTGGCCCTTCTCATCCTGACCCTCTCACAGTTCCTCCCTCATACCTCTGAAGAGCATCCAAGCAATCCTAAGTCAAAATAAATCTCTGGGCTAAAAATCTTCACCTTGAATCAGTGTCTTATTTTTGCTATGTGCTTGGTAATCCTGGTAAGTTACCTTGACTAATTTCTCAGTATATTTCCTTAGACACAGCAATAAAACGTCTCAATTTTGTCACTTGTCTGTTTCTATAGACTGTAAGAATTAATTGGCAAATATCAGAGTCCTCATGAAAATGTTTTCTATCATTTTAAGTAAAATGGTTCTGATTCATCCCCTTTCCCTAGGTAATTCGTATTTCTGCCAGAAGTGGAGAGGGCATCACTGAAATGTGGGATAAAATGAAAGAATTCCAGGACCTAATGCTTGCCAGTGGGGAGCTGAGTGCCAAGCGACAGAAGCAGCAGAAAGTTTGGATGTGGAATCTCATTCAGGAAAGTGTGTTAGAACATTTCAGGACTCATCCCACAGTCCGGGAACAGATTCCTCTTCTGGAAAAAAAGGTTCTCAGGGGGGCCCTGTCCCCAGGACTAGCAGCAGACTTGTTGTTGAAAGCTTTTCAAAGCAGAGACTAATAAAATTTATCCTATGCAATAATTCGATATGTCATTTCATAAAGTATTTTAATATTAAAAGTCACTTGGGTGCTTATATTTTCAGTAAGTTTTTTTGGTGCCCTTGGCCTCCTTATTTGTGAACTGTGCTTGAAAATTTGAAGAACATTAGATATGGATGGCAAAGGTCAGGCAGCTGGACAATATTTATAAGGTACCTGTTGTATCTTACTGATTTCCATTTCTTTTTATTCTTATACCCTGGCATGGTGGCCTGTAGGATAGTTTCTTCTCATCAGTCAGGAGCAGAGAAAGCTGAGAAGTACAGAAAAAGATCATGTACCTTGAAATGCTTTCTTTGATTCTGTATTCTCTGTTTCCAGAGAAAATGTAAGCAAGAGTGACCACATTTTTGAAGTCTTACTTGAGGCTAGAATAATACACAATGGGTTTCTAAGAGCTGAAAATCATGACTGACATTTAGTGTACCAGACTATTCTAGGAATTTCTGAAATGGCCATGTACACGAGTAACAAAACAGTTTGAATGTGTACTGATGTGAACATAATTTTAAAGTCTACTTGTGTAGACTTATGGATCCCCCATGAATGGTAGGAGAGCCCAAAGGAAACTGGGAAAATCAGCCACAGATAATGTAGGTCCATTTATCCCCAAGAGTTGGAGTAAACACCCCAAAGACCCAAGTGAGGTCAGAATGATTCAAGGGTTATTCTGCTTGAATATTATCAAAAGTTTTTGCTTCTTTTCCTTCTCAGCCATTTGTGTTCATATTAACATCTTAAAAATCCACTGTTCTTGATGGTGAGGACCAAGTTTTGTCTTCTGGAGGAAGCATGGTGCAGTGATTAAGAGCTTGGGTTCTAGAGTTGGACTATGTGGGTTTAGCCTTTAAACCGAGATCAATTGCTTATTTGCTGTGTAAGTTTGGACAGATAACCCACCTCTCTAAAACGTTTCCTCCCTGGTAAATGGAATTGACATACTAACTTTATAGGGTTGCTGAGGATAAATGAGACAACTCAGGAAAATCATTTTGCTATCATGATGGTACATAGGAAATACTCAAAGGCTGCTTGCTATTATTATTATGTTAAAGTTATGGATACCTGAAGTTGTCCAAACCTTATATATAAGCTCAATTTTCTCCCATAGTCTTATTACTACCGTCATGCTCTTGTAATATTTTATGATTGTCTTTAAAGCACCTTCTCTAGTTAATTCTTTCAATATATTTTATACTATTTGATGGTAGTTATAACTGTGTACATTTGAATAAAATTATTTCTAACCATAAAATTTCTCCATTGCACAAAATGTCTTTCAAGAAATTTCAAACGTATTCTATTCTGAACCCTTTAGAATATTTTACACAGTATGTAAGCTTTCATTGTTACTTACCCTCCTATCTGGAATCAAATTTCTTATTATTTTAGCAAACATTCCTTTACATTTTTTTTTTAAAGAGTTGTGTTATTGGCATACCTACATCATATATGAGGGTTAGGAGAAACTTCAAAGATTATCCAGTCAATTCACCTAATTTCAAAAAGGACCACTATTTAGCCATCCTATCAGGTGAAAAACTGTGTTTACAATCTTCCAGAGAAGGAATTTCCTAATTTCCCTTAGTAAGCTATTACAGGGAATAGCAAACCCGTCATTTGTGGTACAACGTTAAGTCACGGTGGCGTGTGCACGCGCACACACACACACACACACACACACACATACACACACACTGCATTATAAAGAAGGTAGAGGAGAAAGGGTTTTGGTAGCCCTAAACTTAGCTGTGCATTTCTTCTCGGTCTGAACTACTTTTGAATGTTACAAATATAGTCATAATAAGCATTAGAAAACCCCCATTGTCCTCCTTATGTTGTTATTGTACCACTGGCTAGGATATAGAGACCAATTTCTAAGATATTGTTCACCTTTATTTCTGTTATTTGCTATACTGGAAGCTGTATAATACAGTAAAACATTTGTGGCCTTTAAAGAAAAAAAATCCATGCTTGCTTTTGTTCAGCTCAAAAATGCTTCCCTCCCCGCCCTCTGTGACGGTACCGTACTAGCCCCCTGACCTGGGCAAAAGTGTAGGTTTTGACTTAGATACACATAGAGTCAAATCTCAGCTCTGTCACTAACTAACCATATGATTTTGGGCAAGTTATTTCTCCTCTGTATGCACCAGTTTCCTTATCTGTAAAATTAGGGTAAGAATAGCTACTTTACAGGGTTGTTGGAGTAATTAAGTGAGAAGTTGTATGTAAAATGCTTAGCACTCAATAATTGGTAGGTGTTGTTAGAAATATTGCACAAAGAGACTCATGACAGCTCTCTCTTCTATAAAACACACTAGCATCATTTAATTTTAGTTTGGCCAAACTACTTAATCTCCCCATGCCTCAGTTTCCTCATTATTAAATGAAGTTTATTAATACTAAATATTTAATATTAAACGGGGGTGACAACACCCAGAGTTGTTGAAAAGACTATTTTAGTTAATACACATACAGTGCCTGGACATGGTAAGTGCTAAATAAATACTTAATAGTAAACAGTTGCTACCTCTTAGGGTTGTTGTGAGGATTAAATGAGTTAGTCTCCCTCTATCATAAAAGCATAATTCTTTTCTGAAAAAAACCTCATAGGTTGTCAAAAGCATAATTACCATTAATTTCTGTAGGTAGGTAAAAATGTGCTATGTTCCAAACTGAGCTCCAAAATTGACATTTTGCTAAAACAATACCAAACTTCATTTAAATGACTACAATTGTATGCTTACAGCTGCCGTTAAGGTTAGCTATCACAATACAACCTTACAAGGAATTTTCTCTTCATAGACCGTAATATGGCTATTTATCTCTTTCCCTAAGCTCTCATAGCTATTCCCCAGTATACACTGAAGACAAAAGCTAATGAGCAACATACATAGGATACTCAGTGTTTATGTAATTCAACCTTCAATGCAGGAAGGAAAAAAAAAAAAACAGGAAAAATTAATGAAAGCAATTCTAACATTTCACTCACCCAGTAGATTGCCATCATAGAAGTCATGATGCTACTGCTACCAACTAGGAAACGACAAGGACTTAAGAAGAGAAGCAACTCCTGTCGTCTGCACGTCTGCATAGATGTTGGAGCTCAGCTGCTCCTAAAGACTGAGGAATCCAAGTGGAGCCTTCCTCAACACACATGGTTCCTAAGCCTGACTCTGAAACTCCTCATGAAGTTAAATTCCTCATCACCCAAGGGGCTTTATCTTGGCACCCCTGTAATTCTCATGGAGTGTTAGAATGGCGGCTGGCACCAATACTCGCTAATGGTGGCATTGTTATTTAGGTAAGACTAAGAAAATGAGGAAGAAGTTGAAATTTTCCTTGAAAAAGAACAATGAGAAGGAGACTTTAGCCTATTTGTTTTTCTTTTTTTCCACCATAATATTTTGGTTAGTTGGCTACTAAATTTATGAACTTTTTAAACCCACTTGACATAAATACTTCATGATAATTCCAGCCGTGTGAGGTTTGTATAAGTTCTCTTGTTTTGTCATAAGTAATATGTTTGATAACAAAGTAATAGAGTGGCACAGAAGCAGTTATAAAATATTGAATGCTTTTTTCTCCAGAAAATTTTAATTTTGTACTGTAAAATGTGGATGATGCCAGTGTGTGTCAAAGTACATTAATATTTACATGAAAATTTGATGCAGAAAGGTAACCTTGGGACAATTTATTTTGCTTAGTAGCCACCTCAGCTTCTTGATGTAATGAGGTGAGGGCGCATTTAAGTCAGTGAACTATTTTACTTTCAGCAAGGCTAAATGCTTAATCTCAATTAATGTTGCTTTTAATTAACACAGAGGAAATCATGTGACCTCACCCTCAAGGCTCTGTAACATCCACCTGGCCAGCCATAAGGTGTGGTTAGAATTCTACAGAGAGATAGGATGACAATAAAGCCACTTATTGGGCTCCTACTTATGTGCCAAATCTTGTTACATATAGAACCCAACTATTTCAAGGATCAACACTCTCTTCTTACGAATAAAGTCACATGAGCTTTTACACCCAAATTTTGCTGACTTGGGATTCCATCATATCACACAGGATCTCAGTCCCCTGAAGACTCGTCTTCATAAGTATTTTTGGAAGTCGCAGGGGTTCCTCACTGGTTCACACACAAGCCCACACTCTTGGGTGCAGCTTACTCCTGCCAGGCTTCTGCTGGGCCTCCATGATCTCAGCTGCTGCTGTTCCTAGGAGAGCCCTGCCCTGCTTAGATGTCCCCACTGTGAAACTCTTAAGTTGCCCAAACTGCTGTGTTCCCAGAGCACAGGATCCTTGCCTCTCTCCTCACAGGGGCTAGTCCATCGGGCTGGCCTAGGAACCAACTACCACACCATCTCTCATTGTGCTCAACTCTCCTGTCTCTTCCCCCAGGACCTAAACTCTCAGTCTCTGCAGAAGACTTGCCCCGCACAAGCTCCCTTTTCAAAATGTCTACCAGCTCCTGCAAAAGATGCCTGGGGAGTTGGCAGTCCCTCTTTTTCTGGCATTATTGCCTTAGGCTGAGTCGTGGTCTCCCAGCTTCACATATATAGGATTGCTAATTCTGTCAACAACCCCTCAAGAAAGGTATTACTACTCTCAAATTACAGAAAAAGAAATTGAACAACAGGAATACTGAGAATTAATCTAAATTCTCTATTCCTAAATGTGATGCATTATATACATTAGATTTTAAAAGTACTATTTTCGAAGTTGCTCAAAGTACTTTATGAACTTCATTTTATACTTTTTATAGACAGCTCAGTGACAGATACTATCTTTATTTATAGATGCTTCTGTGGTATAAAGAGGACCAAGGGATTTGTGCATAATCCAGATGGTAAGATCCTGCTCGGTGTTTTATCTTTAAGGCCTTTCTTCTGTAACCTAATATTTTACTTTTTTAAAAAAGATATTTTATTTTTCCTTTTTCTCCCCAAAGCCCCCTGGCACGTAGGTGGGTATTTTTAGTTGTGGGTCCTTCTAGTTGTGGCACGTGGGATGCCACCTCAGCATGGCCTGATGAGCAGTGCCA